AGATACTATAAACTACTAAAGGTATTTGCAGCATGCGCGCGAATCAAGAAGGAAGTAATTGCTCCATAGTCTCGGCGCGATAATAGCATATTTAAATAATCGTTTGAAAGTTTTTCCTGGAGATGTTATCCAAGGCTACTCGAGCGTATATTTTCATAGAAATCCTCATAACAATGTTACTTATTTGTTCTCTATATACGGAAATCTTTAGTTCGAGACATATGTTATTCGCACATACTTGGTCATTTTCTTCATTGTTTTCTACTTTTTGACTTATTTCTTCGTTAGTTTCTTATGTGTGGTAATTATATAGTCTTACACGTTCGACATATTATAATTAGGCGAAATATATGGATAACCTGGAATAACGATTTGCTCTTTTTTTAAACTTTAGTATATGTAATTAGTTTAGGTGTCTTATCGTTTTCAAAGGCGATTGGTCGCAAAAAGTCATTATTTGTTTATTTGTAATTCGTCGCGTGTTCTGACATTTTAAAACCTGGAATAACAATTTGGTCTTTTTTTAAACTTTAGTATATGTAATTAGTTTAGGTGTCTTATCGTTTTCAAAGGCGATTGATCGCAAAAAGTCATTATTTGTTTCGTAATTCGTCGCGTGTTCTGACATTTTCGTAATGAGAACAATTCGCATACGTTGCAACATTATGAAACAATAAAGTGGCACCATAATCTTGTAAATCGCTATGTAATTGTATAGATGCTATCTAATCTGATATAAAAAACATTCTTACCTGCTTTAAAAATCAATCGCGGCACAAATATATATTTGCCACTTTGCAATCTTTATTGCCTACGGAAAATCGCACATTGCGGGATTTTATCAATGCAGTATATGTATACCTAACACTTTACGAGATACGTATAATATGCAAAAAATAATGTATTTTTTATTACATTTTTATTGCTTTTCGAGAAATTCTTTGAAAATGTTTTCAATAAGAGAATCTCTTTTTCTCTTTCTCATGTTGCATTATTATCCGTAATCAAATGAATCATGTATGCCACTTTTTGATGTATCATATTCTTATATGAAGATGAAATTATCTGACATTCACTGCCAACGAGGAAGTTCTAACTGTTCTTAAAGAGAGAGAGAGTATGGTTCTATGCACATCCACAATCTTTCATCCATAGGACATGTCAAACCTTGAGTGGAGAACGGGTCTGCTCAGCATTACTAAGTGCTTGGCGAATAGTTGCATAGATAAAGTATAGTTAAAATTTACATTATCTTTTCTCTAAGCTTATTTGCTATTTATATATTTTTCAATTTCAAGCCGTTTCATAAAAATAAATGCAAAATTTTTAGTTTATTTTTAATTTTGGATTTTTTAAAGAACTCTTTATTTAGAACTCTTTTCAAAGAATCCTTTAATTCTCATATTTTTCGATCACTAACATTGTAAATATTCAAACAAATTATCTAAATATTAAAACTTAAATTATTTGTCATTAGTTTAACAAAAAAAGCCTAAAGAAAAGAGCAAAATAATTATTCCCCTTTTTTGATATTTGAACAAAAAATGTTTTTTGTTATCGCATCATCGTTAATTGAGTTTCGAGATCCGTGAACTTCATGCTCAAACATATTTCCGAAAATTATCCGTGAAATTTTGTCTCAAATTCTGAATCATATTCTTCCATGGCGATTTATTGAGAAGACAATCATATATATCTTCGCCTTCTTCCGCAAGGTCTGCCGGCGTACAAGTTATGCAATTAAAATAATAATGATGCTCGCTCCGAATGCCGGTAACAACTAACAACGAGCAATTTCATGTTGATTACGATGCTCCATCTCGTAATTGGTAATACCGACGAAGCATTGCAAAAGTACGTTCGCCGTGCTACTACCGTGCAGCTACACTTCAAAAAATGATGATAATATCGGTCGATTACACAATCTGTTACACCTGAACAAAACATACTCCGCTTTTGCATACGGAACATTGAGCTTTTGGACATACAATATACTTTTTTTTCACAACAAGTCAACAAATAGATTTACGCAAATTAAACTTCCCTGACAACAAGTAATTCGTACGTTCGGCCAATCGATACGGTAAACGTTTTATTTATTCCAACCAGCGGAAGTTGATGTTGATGTATGTATGCCACGAGGTAGAAGGTATTGTAAAACTGTTACATAAAAAAACGTGACATTCGTATTGGCAGTATTTTGTGCCATGGCCACCGTGTACATTTCAATAACAGTGATGGGACGACCAAATTAACATTAATTATAAAGCCTTCATTTTATTACGAATCAAATAAAAGTTATTCACAAAGTCATTATAAATTGCTGTGATTATCGAAAAATATCTGGTTAAACGCAGAGAATGGAACAATAACGTACGGCGGAGACACGCACAATACAGATTGAACATCGCTCACGCTCAATTAATTCAACGACGTCAATTCAAATCCAGAGACGCACAAAACATCAAAATGATAATGCTCAAAAGCTTCTTCAGGAGAATCAGCAAGGATTTCCGTCAGAAAGAGCTGATGCCGCTGAAGTTAATATTTTTTATTCACGCTTCCAGTAAGTAAAAAGCAATTTTCTACAATCAAATGTAACAGCCTACGCTCTTTTTGTTCCCTTAATCATATCTTAATTCCCTAATCAATCAAATAATTAAGTAGAATTAAAAGTAAGTAAAAGTAAGCAAAACAATATTTCTGGCGCGGTAACGATTCTTTTTGCTGTGGTTTTGCTTCAGCACTTTACGTATTGTATCCGTACTTGACTATACACATGAGAGAATTGGGAATAAACGTGGAAGAGACTGCGATAATGAGTTCTATCACTCCACTCGTGGCCATAGTGATGCCGCCGCTTGCCGGTATGTTAGCCGACCGGATAGGAAATTTCAGAGTGAGTTAACTAACTTTTCTCGATAAAAAATATCAAGATAATACCAATGTATGAGCGAGATACTTTCACCATCAACTGGAGATGCGCGAACTATTTGAATATAAATCAATTCGAATCGAATCGAATGAGACTTAATTC